GACAGCTCCCGTAAGGTGGAGGTAAGTCGTGCCTCGTGTAGGCCCTATCCTGTCGTAGGGGCTCGCGAGAGGTATGGCTGGCGCACTCGGCCGGAGCGGCTTGCGGAAGCTCCATGTATATTCGCGACGAAGGGTTTTAAAACCAACTCCTGCGTGACGCGGCCGGGAGGGTCCTCGCTGCCCCCGTGCGGTGCCAGACCAATGCGCCCGACAGGTGGCGTCGTTGCCGGGGATAACGGAAAGCCTACCGTTGTCCCTGGTGGAACGACATCCGGGTATGAGAAGTGAATAAGAAAAGGCATAAAGGAGTGATGAGAAGGTAATGAAGGAATATATGAATGACTAAGTGTAGGTGAGGAAATTTACCTACCCAAGTCGAGGAAGTATGAGGGACGATCGTGTTAACATTTGGGTAAAGTAAGTACTAAGGGTTAGGTAGGACGGATGAAATAGACCGGTCAAGGTATAATGTTGAATAAGGGGATGGGCTTGTTTTCTTTTGCCAGGGAACTTGAAAAGAAAAGGCTGTCAAGATGTCTGAGACTGGCGGCGCATCAGTTGCTCCCAAGAAGGGCTTGACACTCGATGACCTCATCGCGGCCATCGATCGACATGAAAGGAACCCGAGCAACATCCCAAAGGTCGATACTTTCCATTTCTGTGGGGAGAGAGTCTCAGAATGGCTAGAGCGGGTGGAACAAGCTTTGGTCGGGCGGTCGGATGTTGTAAAGTTTCAACTCATCCTTCAGTATGTCTTCCACAGCTACCATCAGGAGGTGAAGAAAGTCATAGATGCGGCTCAAGGTAGCTGGGAGAGGTTCAAGGAGGGGATGCAGAGGAAATACTGCCTGGGAGACGGGTTGTTGACTACCACGGACCTTGAAGCGATAAACAAAGAGGATTTTACGACTATAGGGGCCTTTGTTCAAGAATTTAAGAAAAGGGCGCGGAAGATCTATGGGATTTCGGAGGAAGCACAGTGCGCCATCTTCCTGAGGTTACTCACAACGTCGGAGGCCGTCGAGTTGACGAGACATGGAGGAGGTAGCATTAAGCTCACCTGGGCCACCATTGACAGAGGGGTGGAAGTTGGGTGCTTGGACCAGGTGGAACAACGTCAGGTACGCCTGCAAAGGCAGAAGAAAAAGGAAAGAGATGCGACCGCTTCTGGGACCCCGGGGGTAACAAGGATTGTTACAGACGTATTGGCACAGCTAGGGTATGTGACTGAGCCAGTGGTGCAAAGGAGGGTGGTGACGGCTGTCAACGTAAAAGGAAAAGAGTCAGTGATAGAGGAGGCTGTTCAGGAGGAGCTCTGGGAAGAGGAAGAGCCGGTGCCGCAGCACCTGACGAAGGTCCAGCGCAAAGTGCGTAATTTGGCGCAGGGCGGACAGGGATCAGGAAAAGCGCAGGTGCCTCAGGCCCAGGCAGCAGCCCCTTTATTTGTGGCGGCTCCATCATCTAGTACGGGCCCCTCGAAAGGTGGGGCGCCCTCCTACGGACAGTGGCCCTGGCCGGTGATCAATGCAATTGTGCCATGGGGAAGCCCGCCGCCAGTAGCCGCACCGCAAACGAGTATGCCACCACCCATCTACCCCGCGGCCCAGGCCCAACTCGTGGCCCCGCCACCTTCACCCGATCCCAGTTCACAGGGTAGTGTTGTAGGAGGTGGGAACCAGGGGCAGGGCAATCAAGGCAACAGAGGGAGGGGGCGAGGCAGGAATGGCGGCGGAAGAGGAAGGCAATGGAATGGCCAAGGCCAGGGGTACCAAGGCCAAGGGAGTCAAGGCCAGGGGTACCAAGGCCAAAGGAGTCAAGGCCAGGGGTACCAAGGCCAGGGGTATCATGGCCAGGGGTATCGAGGCCAGGGGGATCAGGGAAGTCAGGGGTATGAAAGACCCCGTTTTGACTGGAAAACGGCCATCTGTCAACATTGTGACCAGCAAGGCCACACTATAAGGTTCTGTAATATAAGACAGGAAGACGAGAGAAGTGGACTGATCTCCTCCACTATGGATGGGAATATCTACGATCAGTTTGGGGAGGTCATTGACAGAAGGCTTGGAGGAGTGAGGGCTGAAGCCCAACGAAGAGCGGCAGCTGGGCCGCCACCCCCTGCCATGTTCAGGCTATGGCAGGAAAAGGAAGAACCACCGATTGGGGTGGAAGAAGTAGGAAGCGATGAGGAAGTGACTCAAGGGCTACGAGGAGGAAGTGAGACGGAAGAGGCCATAATCATCGAGTCAGATGACGAGGATAAGGAGGAAAGAACGGAGCCTCTGTCCGTCTTATTTGAGAAGATGGAGGACTTGCTGGATAAGATGGGGAGGTACCAACAAAAGTTGGTGGGCCTCTGTGAGGAAGTGAAGGGATGGAGGTCTAACATCCCCACAGTATTCCTCTATGACTCCGGCCCGGAGTCAGCGCCTGGGCGACCCGAAGTAAATGTGGTGGGGTCGTGCCCACAATCGGGAATGAGGGGGAGACCCCTCACTCCGCAGGCCCGGATGGCACAAGCAGCACGAACGAGGAATCAAGCCAAGGCCAGTGCCAGCCAAGAGCCTCCAAGGAGGGAACCCAAACCTGGGAGAAGGAAAGAGGTTGTGGAAGTAGAGAACGACGATGATGAAGAGGAAGAGGACGAGAGGCTGCGCAGAGAAGAGGATCAGAGAGTGGAGCAGCGGGCAAGGAAAAAGGGAACCAGGGGAGAGGCCGAACCGGTCATACATGACGGACCGCCCAAAAAGAAGAAATACGTGGTCTGGTTGGAAGAGGGATTTGACGTAGAGAAGGTGATTGACCGGCTGCTGGAAGGGCATAATGACCTCATGACCCTGAAGGAAATCCTAGCGTCAGCCCCGCGACTCCGCGATGAACTGAAGGGGAGGTTATCGCGGCGCCTGGTGCCCAATGTCCATCTGGGTATGATCCTGCCCAAGGAGGCAGAGTGGGCAGAGTCAGGTACGAAGATGGACTGGAAGTGCGTAGCCTGCGGTACGGTGGATTTGATGGTGAAGGGTTCCAAGTGCGCAGCAATGGTGGACACCGGGACAGAGATGAACATTATCCGGGAGGCGGACGCGATCAGATTCGGGCTGGATATAGACCGTTCTGACTGCGGTATTCTGCATGGAGCCATCTGTAAGGCTGTGTTTTGCGGGACAGCCTCGAATGTGCTTGTCGAGGTTGGAAAGGTGAAGGTCAGGGCATGCTTCTTCATAATGCCGGACGTGGACCATGGAATCCTCCTGGGGAGGTCATTCCTAAGCAGGACAGAGACCGTGATGTTCAACAAACATGATCTGACGTTGATCCTCCTCTTATGCGATCCTGCCTGCGGGAATTATAAAATAATTACTTGCAGGAACACCGGGCCAAGGAGTATTAGGAACCGGCCCAATCCAGGATCATTCGCAATCGAGGAGTCGGAAGGGGAGCGCAGGAGGCTCTGGGCAGAGCCCGAAGCAGGAGAGAGGGTGGAAGCATTTTCCCTCAGCCTGTCTGATGTTGGGAAGGCCATGGACCTGGTGGCCGCGCATGAGATGGCAGATCCGGATGCCATCCAGGCCTTGAGGGAGCAAGTTCTGGAATGCCCTGAGGCAGGAAGGTTGGAGTTGGTATATCGGCTCCCAGGCAGCGGAGGGAACCCCGCATCAGCGCAAACATAATCCGTGAGTCGGCCTTTTTTAGGGGACGCAGGGTTCCCAAAGGCGGTACAAGACGGTAAACAAGAAGTGCCGCCCGGTACCCGTCCTCGTTACAGAGGACGAGGAAGCATATTACGAGAGGGAACGAGGGTTGATACGACGAATGAGGGAAAGTGCTTTAGCAGGGCCATGTCGTATCAACGAAGGGAACGAGGAGTTGATCATAGGGGAGTATGATTTCTTGCTGCCTCAAGAGCGAACGTTGATGGTGGAATTAATGAAGAGGAAGCATCGCGCCTATGCGTTTAGGGACGAGGAGCGTGGCAGGCTGGATGTGGACAAGATACCTATGATCCGCATCCACACCGTACCACACGAGCCTTGAAACATAAGAGGGGCGCCATATCCCAATCCTGACGAGGAAAGGAAGGTGGTGGATTACCTCGACGACAAGATACGTACTCACGTCGCCGACTATTCAAGTGGACCGTATGCGTCCCCGTGGTTCTGCTTTATTAAGCCTAACGGGACGCTGCGGTGGGTGCAGGATTTGCAAAGACTGAATGCAGTGACCGTGCGAGATGCTAGAGGACTGCCGAATGCAGACGCGCTGTCGGAATCCTGTGTTGGAAGGCCTATAATTTCGCTTATAGACCTTTACTCAGGATACGATCAGTTCCCAGTCTACCCGCCGGATAGGCCGGTGACGACTATGCACACGCTGCGAGGATTAGTCCACATGAACGTGGCCCCACAAAGGTGGACCAACGCAGTAGCAATGGTCCAACGGGCCATGATTCGGGTCATGCAGTCAGTCAGCCCCCATATCACACAGCCATACATTGACGATTTGGCAGTGAAGGGGCCGG